AAAAATTCTCATTCGATTTTAAAATTTTAAAAACCATTCGTAAAATATTAATAGAAAATTCTTCCAATTAATTTATGGCAAAGATCTATTGGAATGGTTATAGAAATTCATTCAAAATCAAGCTTTTAATTAAAATCAATTTGACTTAGAGCAATTATATTGTGAAAATCAAATCAAATAAATCACAATAAATAACACATATCAAAAAAATAACTATCTGACTATTTTCATAAAAATGCGAGCTAATTCATTATCATAAAAATGTATGTTTTTCAAAAATTTGTACCTGGTCCTTTATGCCTTATAGGCAGATAAAATAGGACGGCCAGAGGACAAAAAACTGGACCAATATTTTAATTTTGAAAGGATTTTACAAAATAATAGCTACATTATTCAACCAATGCAAAATATTAATTTTATGGGTACATTTTTTACAGAGATAACACTGTATATAACTTTGATCTGGTACTTCGTCAAAATATTTATCAGCAAAGTTAAAATGACTATTTATTTAATTTATTTGTTGTAAAATTGCTTTATTTAACTTAATTCACTTTTTTATTTTCTATTTTTATTTTTTACGCCTTTGCCAGGGTAAAAGTTTATTTGGACCTTTTTACCCCACCTATGTGTAAGTTTTATTACAGTTTATATGAAAAACTGTGGAATCTAACTTAAAATTAACAATACATCTTATGAAACAATTAAATAATGTATACTTAAAAACATATTAAGGTCTTGTAAACTAAACAACAGTGCTCACAACCAAAAAACTAACAACGAAAGAGAATACTTTTGTTCTGGATTTTCAAACATTGCCGTTTATCTCCTGATAGCAACGTTGTAAGAATCAAGATGATAGCTGGTTATACTTCTTTTTCCCTCTACTTTCAAATATTGTTGTTAAAAAATTCTTATCTGCTCTTGTTTTTGAGATATCGGTGGTGGATGTTTTTATCCGCGGACCTTTAGGTCTAGGTATATATATATATATATATATATATATATATATATATATATATATAATTAAAATTATAAATTTAGTTCTAATTTACCAATTATACAATCTTAAATTTTTGCACGCGCTTTTTAAAGATTCTAATCAGTCTTATACATTATACTTTATTTCATAATGATTCCACAAGATTGATGGATACAGATGAATAGATTGATGGATTTAGCACTATCTTATATTTAATAATATTCACTTTTAATAACACGCTGTTCATTATGATAATTATATGCACATACTTGTCAATTGATAATTACACTTTATGTAATTAACGAAGAATTCTTTGAGTTTACCTTAGATGAAGAAAATGTTACATCTATTGACATTAATTAGTTATACAGAAGATTGGATATCTTCAAATAAAATTTTACATTGGCCTATATTCTATAAATCATTATGCATAGTATCATTATATAAAACTGACAATAATACTTGGCCAGGAAAAACCACCATTAGGCCATAAGACATGATTGAACTACTAAATTTGGAGGCAAATACTTTAAAATAATCTAAAAGCCTACATATATTTGCTTGATTTTTAAACAAAAATTAAGAGTCTCAAAAAATTACCATTTAATCCTAATGTGAATATTTTTTACTTGCTTTTGAACCAATCAGATCATAAGAGTTGTATTGAATGTTCTTATGATATATCTTAAATCCAATATTTTTATAAGGCAACCCTGTGGTTATTATAAGCTATTGTGATAATTTTTTACAAACATTTCATTAGCTGTTCTGATAATTATTGTTTGCGGTTATTTTCAATAATGACTATTGAAATTAAAAAGTATCTCTATACTTATTCTGTTCTCTTTTTGGTATATTTTTATTAGAAGACTACCCTAAAGTTGTCCTATTAAACTTCTGACATATTTTGATTATAAGATAGTCCAATATTTATCCTTTTCTAAATGTGATTTTTTTTATTTATTTATTTATATACATTATTTTCATATCTCAGGCGGACAGAGGTGCCTGGCATGAGAGAACTTTAAATACTTGATCTGTATTTTCAAGTGACAATAGGTATCACTACTGCTTGATATCATGTTGCAAGACCAAGACTCTTGTAAATTATGAAACATGATTGTTTATAGAAATGTGATTGATTGGGATCAATATCAAGATTCAATATTTGGGCATCAACAAAAAAATCATTAATTCCACAATCCTACACTTGCGCTTTCGTACTTTCTAATGATCTAATAAGAAATCGAGTTTGTTTAATATTGTAATATGTGAATTATATATATAGCAAGTGGTAATATTTTCTAAGAACCGATTGTAGTATTATTACTTTGTGATAAATGCGATACCATGTACGGCCAGGTAACTTTACCATTTTAGAAACAATACATCACTTTTATATAGCGGTGATTGAACAATGCCTACGTACCTTCCGGCTTTAATTATTTAATACAGTGATTATCAAAGTATAAGAGACGGATTTAGAAAAAAATATAAATTGTAATTTAAATTTTGAAGCCAAACTTAAGGTACTACCTACTCTTACTCCCTAAGTCAGGCAAGAAGTTTTGCTTCAAATTACCTACTAGGTATATTGGTGAGAGCGTTATGAAAAGTGTGATCTTCCCAAGCAAATTGATGCTGCAGTCAAATAGTAAAAATGAAAAAAAAAATGAGTGATGTGTATTGCTACAAGTGTAAGTGTCTTCTTGAATTAATAAAAAATAAAAACAGTAACGTTTATAAATATATGGACTCTACTTTGTTCTTTTTCAGTAATATCCGTTAAAACGTTTATTTTATTTTATTATATATAATTATATAGTACACCATATATCCTTTTCTTTGTCAATAATGTTACAAAACTAGTTGGAAAGGAGATTTTTTGCCTTACTTTCTGCCTCCAAAGTTCTTTCTTACCCTTTTACCTTTTTTGCACTCCATAATGGCGTGCTCAGCATCCGCCCTAGTCGCTCCACGCAAACAATAGCAATTGGGATCGGTATTGATTCCAACGTATATTTTGAAATCAATTAATTGAGTTATATTTATTTGTTTTTATGCATCCAAAAGTCAATGAGCCTGAATCATATTTGAGTTGAAAATGCCTGATTTGACTATCCAGGATTTCTGCTTCCTCTTGTCTTGAATCATCTTAATTTTATATTTTTGACCAGGTTTCTCAAAAAAGAAGAAATGTCTCAAATTGTACATAAATATGCAGGATTCTTTGTTTTCTTTTTTCTACCGATACTTTAGTTTTCATTTTTTTACCGAAAATCTCAGTCTGTCTCAGTCAGTCAGTATAAAATCTCTTCATTTTCCCTTTTTCATTAGAAATAATATGTATAATCGTTACATTTGATGATACTACTAATTGGATCAGACATATTAGTAAGTCTCTCAATGAAATAAATAGTATTAATTTTTCAATTTGGGCTTGCCCTTTAGGTAAGCGGTTAAGAGCGACGAGGCTTGATTCAGAGGTCCCGGGTTCGGTACTCGTCTCGAGCAGCCTGTTGTCAAGCAGTAGTAACAACAATTTTCATTCGGAAACATAGATAGCAATATGTTTCCAAGTGAAAATAGTCCTTACCCGGCATTAATGAAAAGTAGACCAATAAACAGTCAGCCCTATTAGATAAATTCTAATAATAAAATCATCAAATATGGATGGATTGGGTTACCATCCAAAAATGCGAAGTAAGGAGAAGTTTCTGCTCAACAGCTTATATGATGTAAGGTTCTGATTGCTGTTAAGATATGAACAAAAAAAATCAATTTGCTATATTATATAAAGATATTTATTATAAACTTCAGGTGTCTGGTTCAAATGTTTTAAGAATGAAATAATGAACATGTTCTGAAGTAAATTAGCTAAATTTATGTTCTCTGGACGCCTGATATCATTTTGAACAGTAAGACATAACAATTATTATATGTTCAAAAGTAACTCCCTAAATGATTCTTTTATTCAAATTTTTTGTATAATTTTTAACAAATTTGAAAAAATCAAAAACAATTTCAGACAGCTGTAATCATATCAGTTTTGCATTATGCTAGGTCAAACCGTTTCTTCAACAGTAATTTTTATATTCTGTTTTAGCATTAATGTTAATTCAAAAACTATTGTAATTATTTTATTAAATTGCATTGTGTATTCAAGTTATTCTTATTTTTTTAAATTAAATTATGCTAATCTTTGTCTTTTTATTTGATGGCCATAACCTTTCCTAAAGCCAATTGATATAATAATAATTAAAATGATAAAATATTTAACAGCACTAAATAATTCAATTTATTATTAGATGAATAAAAATAAACAACAATTAAAATTGTTTGTTCATATATCACTTGTGACGTGATTCGTAATAGTTTTAATGTTATTGTTTTATATTAATTAGTATTTTGCTGTAATCTTAATTAGCAATGCATTACGATTGTGAACAAATGAGTAATTTTTTTAATTCGTTAATTGTAGAACAAATTTAATAGTATTTTCAAATCATCGATTATATTTTTATGTTCTGCTCTTCAGCATTGATAGTTAATAAATACTTTCAACTTTTATAATTAATTATTAATTATTTATAAATTATCAATTAGCAAGTCAATTAATTACTTTTCAAGTTATTTTTAAATCGATTGATCCATAGATCAAGTATAACAATATATTATTGAATTTAAGGAACAGAAGTCTTGAAATTATGTATCCCAAATATTTAGATTTGCTAATGAAATTATTAGAGATTTTTGAAATTAGAATATCGGGGACAGTAGTGTAAAAATTTATTATATCATAATATCTCATTAATAAAGAATTACGCAAATACTTCTAACTTTATATGCAATTTCAGTTAGGATTACGAATCGTTCAATCAATTTAGCAATATCTATTTTGAATTTGCCGCTTTAAAATGCATGGAAACGTTATTCCGCTATGGCAACACTGCGCCCGCGTTTATCGACCAATCACAGGCCGGCGTCGGGCGTTGCCGGTTTTTACATAAAGCGAAGCGCGTCCTGTCAGTTCGGCATTTTTATTAGCGTTGTTTGTGGCTTCTTGGTAGCCAGTTTGGTATATAAAATATTTAGTTGTGTAACTAATTAACATTTCAAAATGAGGGAAATCGTTCACATTCAAACTGGACAATGCGGAAACCAAATTGGAGCCAAGGTAAGTTATTTTAAGCGACTCCATTATGATGTTCTTTTGCCGCACTGAAGTTGAATTACAGTTTTATTGATTTTTCTATATTTGCGTTTTAACAAAGGTTTTCTTAAGATTCTTTCATCGTCTGCATGTTTCGTATCGCGTTTTCTTTTATCGTTTTATTCATGGATATCCGAAACAGTGTTACAATGAAAAAAATTACCGTTACGAACTTGTTGTAGTGTTTGTACAAAGTGAAATTACTTTCATGTAATAAGTCTACAGCCATAATTTCATTATAGTTCTGGGAAATCATCTCTGATGAGCATGGCATTGACCCTACTGGAGCCTACCATGGAGACTCTGATCTTCAACTGGAACGTATCAATGTTTATTACAATGAAGCCTCCGGCGGCAAGTACGTTCCTCGCGCCATTCTTGTGGATTTGGAGCCAGGAACCATGGACTCGGTCCGTTCTGGACCATATGGACAGATTTTCCGTCCCGATAACTTCGTCTTTGGCCAAAGTGGAGCCGGAAACAACTGGGCGAAGGGACATTACACCGAGGGGGCTGAACTTGTTGATTCCGTTTTAGATGTTGTTCGCAAAGAGGCCGAGTCCTGTGATTGCTTACAAGGTTTCCAATTAACTCACTCTTTGGGAGGTGGTACTGGATCTGGTATGGGTACTCTACTTATTTCTAAAATCAGAGAGGAATACCCAGACAGAATTATGAATACTTATTCAGTAGTACCTTCACCTAAAGTGTCAGACACTGTAGTAGAACCTTATAATGCCACTTTGTCTGTTCATCAATTAGTTGAAAACACAGATGAAACCTATTGTATCGATAATGAAGCTCTCTACGATATCTGCTTCAGAACTTTGAAACTCACCACACCTACATATGGAGATCTTAATCATTTAGTTTCTTTAACAATGTCTGGAGTCACTACTTGCCTTAGATTTCCTGGACAATTGAATGCAGATTTGAGGAAATTGGCTGTGAACATGGTACCTTTCCCTCGTTTGCACTTCTTCATGCCTGGATTTGCACCACTCACATCTAGGGGAAGCCAACAATACAGAGCACTCACCGTACCAGAATTAACACAACAAATGTTTGATGCCAAGAACATGATGGCTGCATGCGATCCCCGACATGGTCGTTACTTGACTGTGGCAGCTGTGTTCAGAGGACGCATGTCAATGAAAGAAGTAGATGAACAAATGCTGAACATTCAAAACAAGAACAGCAGCTACTTTGTAGAATGGATTCCAAACAACGTCAAGACTGCAGTTTGTGATATTCCACCCAGAGGTCTGAAAATGTCTGCAACATTTATTGGTAACTCCACTGCCATCCAAGAATTGTTCAAGCGTATCTCAGAACAATTCACTGCTATGTTCCGAAGAAAGGCTTTCTTGCATTGGTATACTGGTGAAGGTATGGATGAAATGGAATTCACGGAAGCTGAGAGCAACATGAATGATTTGGTTTCTGAATATCAACAATACCAAGAAGCCACTGCTGATGATGATGCAGAGTTTGATGAAGAACAAGAAGCTGATGTTGATGAGAACTAAATTAATTCTGCATGATGTTTTAACAATCGCTGCCAACCCTGTTTTTAAAATTTACAAAAAGCTTGTCTGAGTTACATGCATAAGGCCTTATTTATTATATTTGCAGACTCAATACAATATTTTTGTAATATTTTCACTTTAATGTTGCAATGTTAATTTGTATATAAATTGGTATTTTACATTCCTTATGCATTGTTTACAATAAACTATTTCATTAACAGTTTCAAAATTTGTTTGATTTTAAATTGTTTCAGGTATAATTTTATTGTAAAAATTACAATGATCCAATTAATTAAAAAATAAATATGGCAACATAAATACTTATTTAAAAATAAGTTTTGAAACTCATTTACAAAATCTTTATCGATTGACTTCATATTTTCTGTATTTTTTTCTTCAATCTTTATGAATTATACATTGGGTTTTAATGTCATTTAACATATGCTTTTGATATTGTAGTAAAATATGAGATATTTACAGGGAATCTGAGGATAAAGAAGATAATAATCCAAGTCGTGTAGAAAATGGAGTAGTGGTAACACCAAGTAATACAGAACTGGATGATAATGGAGTTGGCTTCTACAGAACGCTGCTGCCACAGGTGATTACTTCTTTTCAAATTGGCCCAAAAAATCATTGAATTCAGATGGAGCACTGCTTTATTTTATTAAATATTTACCTTAGACTTATATTTAGTTCCGATGATTTTTGTTATCAAGAGATGTTTAGCATTCATGGCATGGCTTTATGATTCAAATAATTTTCTAATTCAATGATTTTTTTTTTGCTTCAACGGAAACTAAACATGAAAATCTTCTTAAATGATAAATATTGCGTTGTTAAAGTTCATTAAGTTATTTTATTCATTAAATTAATTCATGTTTGTTGTGACAGATTATGCAATATTAATCATATCTTTCCAAATAACTATAATAACTCATAAAGCTCGAGACACTATTATCATAACAGTTTACATGACTGACATAATAAAACATTCCATGTTTTATGTTTTGAAATATCTAAATAATATAGTAAATTATCTTATATAACGTTTTCCATGGAAAACATTGGACAATATAATTTCTCACATTATTTTCGTCGTGACAATTTGATTAATATTAAATACAATTTAGAATTTGTAAGGAAAAAACATTTTATAATTACCTCTTTATTTATTTTAGGGATATATAATTTTAGACAACATTTAGTTTTTTTTATATAGTCTACTTACCTGTATTTATTGCCCAAAAATTAAAACGCCAATATTTTGGTATTTAAGCTAATTAACTGGAGAACTATAGAAAATTCTTGTTAGGAATTTTTTCATCTTATTTGTTTATAAAAATAATTTTTCATTAGCTCGGGAAATGTTGATTTTAAATATGACTTGAAATTTGATTTAAATATTGAAAAGAATTAATAAACATTCAAGTAAAAAAAAAACACATTTTTAAATTACTCCTAGAATCGTCTTGTATAGGCCATCTAATAATGAAACGATTAAGGTATAGTTTCCGGGAATAAAACATATTTTTGTAAGGATTTGTTTGAAATCCAAACATTATTTAGCTTTTTTGCAAATTTAAATTTCTTTGCATTTTTTTAGAATGTATATATAAATATAACAAAAATAATTTGGTGATTTATTTATATTATTTTTTGTAGGTGTTGGCGAGTACAGCAAAAAATATGTTACTATTCGACTTGGGTATGGCTGTGGCATTTCCTACGATAGTAATACCAGATCTTATGGGAGAAGATAGCTCCATTCGATTAAATATAGTTCAAATTTCTTGGTTTGGTAAGTAAAACATTACCAATTTAGTCTTTTTTTATTTTGAAAATTATAGACATTGTAATCAATTATACAGATAATTACATATTGATTGCATAGAATAATAAGATTTGCATTTAATGAAATCCAACTAATTAAATTATCTTTAATAATGTTAAATAATACTGATCAGAGAATATAAGTGTTATATATTTACTTACATCATTGCAAAGATCCAGATAATACAAACATTCAAATATATTTTTAAATAAAATCTTAAGACTACTATTAAAAATACGATTACATTATTAGCAATTATTTAAATAATATAAAAAAATGTATAATAGATAGTACTTTTATTGCCATCAATTAAATTTGAAATCAAATTTTACCTATTTTTGCCAAGACTGAAAGATTTACAAAATCTCAAACTTGAGATTCTATAGATATAGACATAAGTAGCTTTATTTTAACTATAGTATATGTTTTAATTTAAACTAAAAATTTAAACTAAAAATTAGACATATTTAGATATATATTTTCTAATATTGCAAATTCATTGTTATTAGAACTAATAGTTCTTGCATATAAAACAAACACGTTCTTCTCAAGAACCAACTCCAAAATCCTACATCTTTAGGTACAAAATTGAAGCATCAAGAGACTATCTAAGATGTTTATTTTACCATTGAAATATAATTTTTGTTTGGTTACAAATATATAAAAAATTATAAGTCCCAGTTATCATTGTTTTGTTTTCTTTTTGCAGGAAGTTTAGCATACATCTGCCAACCTTTGGGAAGCCTGGCATCAGGCGTTTTTCTGGAAGCTTTAGGAAGAAAACGAGCAATGTTATTAGTTACTCTGCCCCATATAGCCGCCTGGATAATCATGTTTTTTGCTGGAAATCAAGCCATGCTTTTTACTGGAGCTGTTCTTCTTGGTCTTGGGGTTGGCTTCATGGAAGCTCCTATATTGACTTATGTTGGAGAAATATGGTAATTAAAGAATAAATTATTTATTTTTATGTACTAAAAGTATTGTGAACTGAGGAAATATTTCAAATATTTTAATAATTTTCAGTCAGCCACGGTTTAGGGGTATTTTAACAGCCATGGCAGGCGTTTCGGTACTTTTGGGTGTTTTTCTCACTTATCTTCTGGGTACCACTTGGCATTGGCGCACTGTTGGTGGAGTTTTGTCCAGTGTTCCGATCATCACATTTTTTGCCATCTGTTTTGTAAGTAGATATTCAGAAATTAAATTAGTTGAATAAAATTCCATTACATCATTCACTTATCTTTTGTAAAATTTGACTTTGATATTATTTTCATTACCTTTATAATACATTATTCATAACATTACCTTTATAATACATTTTCTTGTACTGAATCCAGAAGCTAAGAAATAGGCTTGTAATTACAAGATTAAAGTATGAACTTACAAAAAATATATAGTACATATTCATATTAGACAAATCTTACATCTATATTTATTCATTTTGGTTACATATAATTTTGCTTGCTAATTTAAAATAATTATTCATTTATGATTCTACAGATTCCTGAAACTCCTATGTGGTTACTATCGAAAGGCAGGCGAGAAGATGCTTTAAAATCACTATGCTGGTTAAGAGGTTGGGTTACTCCAGATAAAGTAGAAAAGGAGTTCCAAGAAATTGAACAATATGCCAAAACAATAAGTCAATGTACTGAATGCCGTAAAAAACGTTTGCAAGAAGCTTGTCCACATGGAGGAGTCAAGTGAGAAATAGATATTTTATGTATTATGCAATTGAAAATATTGATTTAGTTAACTAAATCAATATTTTCAAGTCCAATCAATTTGAATCAATTGATTTAAATAAAAGAAGTTGATAAATGATAATTAAAACATAAATAAAATAAGTATAATAAAGGTGTGATAAGAATTTATGCTTAATGGAGATGATTTAGCCTCAATTTTCATTGATGCCCAAGATGATCTATTTATTTATTTAAATTTTTGGTCAATATTTTGATAATTTATTTATTTGATATAGATAATGCAAATAATCTGAAATATTTCTCAATGTCAACATAACTTTAGAATTAACTTTTTTCATATATTACTGCTTCTGAGAAACTAATCATGACATAAGACTCTACTTTCTGATAAAAACAATTTATTTAAAAGAACCAGATTGCATTTTTATGGACAGCAACTCATAGTTTTTGGTGATAGTGCTATATTGAAGCCTGTTCGTTAATCTATTTAATGGCTTGTAGAATTCAATAATTGTATAACCGAAAAATAGCTAGATTTAACTTGTTTTTTGTTTCTACATTCTCGATTTGATTTTACTGTAATTGGAATACAGATTAGTATTCCAATTAGTTTTAGTATTGGAATTGTCTTTTACTGAGTCTTTTTTGTGATTGATAGATCGCTATTTACTATCTCCTTTAACTTATTTGTTCTAAAATCGTTGTACTATTTTATTTTATTA